ACCTCCAAGGGGAGGCACTAGACTGACAACATCCGCATCTAGGCGGTCAGCCACCGATGCGGAGGAGGGAGACGAAGATGCGGATGATAGTAGTGAGAGACCAAGCACAACTGCAGCCCGCACGTCGCGGGGATCCCAAGCTGGCAGATCCAGCTCCTCCACTCGACCTCCAAGGGGAGGCACTACACTGACAACATCCAGACCTAGGCGGACAGCCACCGATGCGGAGGAGGGAGACGAAGATGCGGATGATAGTAGTGAGAGACCAAGCACAACAGCAGCCCGCACGCCGAGGGGATCCCAAGCTGGCAGATCGAGCTCCTTCACTCGACCTCCAAGGGGAGGCACTACACTGACAACATCCGCATCTAGGCGGTCAGCCACCGATGCGGAGGAGGGAGACGAAGGTGCGGATGATAGTAGTGAGAGACCAAGCACAACTGCAGCCCGCACGCCGAGGGGATCCCAAGCTGGCAGACCGAGCTCCTCCGCTCGACCTCCAAGGGGAGGCACTAGACTGACAACATCCGCATCTAGGCGGTCAGCCACCGATGCGGAGGAGGGAGACGAAGATGCGGATGATAGTAGTGAGAGACCAAGCACAACTGCAGCGCGCACGTCGAGGGGACCCCAAGCTGGTAGATCGAGCTCCTACGCGCGACCTCCAAGGGGAGGCATTGCATTGGCCACGCCAAGACCTGGAGATGCGACAAGAGAAGATGGCGAGGAAGCGGAAGGGAGTTCTAGAAGAGGTGAGAGGAAGAGAACAACTGCAGCGCATGCTTCTCGAGCTCAAGGCGTTTCCCGTCCGTCCGTACGCAGCCCGGAAGCTGGCCGATTAATCAGCTCCAGTGAAAGTGCTGGAGCGGAAACAGAGAGTGAGACGAGCGTTTCTCAGAAGAAACCTGAAGGTGAATCCGATGATGTTATGGCTACGAGCACACGCCCAACAGGCAGGCGACCTAGACAGCGTGAGGGGGGAGGAAGCACTGAGGTGAAGAAGAAACCAGCTAGGAGACCTGCGCCTTCGTCAGGGGGTGGTGGAGAAGGAGAGAGCGGGAAGCCCAAAGGTCGGTCGGCTCCGTCTAAGGTCATCCCAAACGGCACACGCGATATGCGTCAACTGCGAGTTGTTGTGAACGGCTTTGAGTCAAATGTTGTTGAAGTTATCAAGGCTAAAAGAGGATTCATCTATAAAATTGACAACATACTTCCTTTTAGGTGGAATCCCGGACCAACTATTGTCGATTTCTTCCATGAAGTTCCCGAATACGTCAAGTTGGATTTCTTCGTGCACAAGCTGCCTCGCGATCTACGGGACCAGGCGCGTTACCGCCAATACTTGCATCGTCACATCTAATGCGTTAAATTAACCTGTTTTCTGGTCTGTCGTCTGCTTGTCTTCGTGTGCATCATGTGGGATAATTCCTTCCGGTCTGGGACTTGTTGCGCTCCTCCTTTCTTTGTTCTGAAGTTTCGCAGGCAGTGCCTAAAGGCTACTATGTTGCTTGGTGTCTACTGCTTGACTTCGTTGTGTAGGATGTGCTACTCCCTTCCTATTAAGGGCATCCGTAACCATGGTCTGTTTTGATTCAGTTGATTGTCATTAGTGTCTGTTGCGTCCAGGATTATCTATGAAATGTTCAGTTGTCTTTCTGTGTGTGCCATATTTTCAGTGAAGCTTGCTCCTTGTGATTCACCGTTAATGTCCTGTGTCCCCAGATGGAACGCGCGGGCCCCGTGACGGTATTTGTGGTACGGGACAGTGGATGGGTATTTCCGAATGGGCAGACTGTGCCAAAGTGTGTATTCGACGCACTTGGAAAGCCGGGGAACGAGCACATCATCCAAGGCATCTTTCACTGGTTTGCCCTCCCTGGTGGGTTGCTGAGAGCTCATATAAACAACGGTTTATCAGTCTACTCATGAACATTTCACTGCATGGTGTTTATAAACAAGCAAAATAGTTTCCAAAATGCCGCACCAGAAGGTACATATGCTGTCCTGATAGGACCTAACGTGTATTAGTCATCAAAATGATCTCCCTTTGTCTTGGCTGCACCGTAGCTGCTTGTCTGAACTTGCCAGTTGCAGTCGGGTGGAGGACGGATAGGTTTTCAGAGCAGTGCAGCTTTCCGGTCGAATGCATCTGTACTCGCATTTCATTTGCTGTATTTCAGGGCTCTTTCCCAGAAAACTCATAGAGAATCGCGATTGGCTGCCTGTGCTAGGAAATCCCCCTAAACTAGCGGTCGCCCACCTGAGGCGACCGTGCCCCCCGGGGGGGCCTAAAAGGCGCCCAACAACTACAACTACAACCGCAGCGTCAACAGAGCCACGAAAGACAACTCCCAGTACGTATGGGAGAGGTACGCGGCTGCATGAAGCAGATGTCGAGGGAATGCAAGCAAGCCCTGTCAAGCCGAGCGGCGGGTCGTCTACGTCGCGGAGCCAGCGCAGCACTTCGCGATCCGGTGGTGGAGATGGCTCGAGTGCAGCAACAAGAGAAAGGGTAGGCGCTACCTCGGGAGACGACGAGCTGGGGAGCGGCCGAAGGGAGTTACCCATTTCAGACGCAGGCTCGCGAAGACGGCAAACTGCCAACAGCACAACGCGCAGCACAACAAGGCGACCTGACGGGGATTCTGTTTCTAGCAGGAGGTCGAGGCTTACCAGCACTCTCGGCCTGCTTCTGAGATGGAGGTCGTCTTCTTGTTCTGGAACAACAAACACACCAGACGAGGGCTCTGTCACAGGCAGGAGGACGAGGCCAACGACAACTGCTCCAGGTGAAAACACTGTTGCACAAAGGAGGTCAAGGCCTACCAGCACTCAGCCGGACGAAGACTCTACCTCCAGCAGAAGAACAAGACC